AGTAAAAACAACAGTTAAAGGCAAATCTATAAGCATATGTAACAGTTAAATGTCTTTATCGAAAGCAATACAGCATTATATAAAATATTGATTAACATGCCCAATTTAATTATACCTGGACATGTATGGAGCCAGAGACACAATCTTCCAAACTATAACACTTCTTAATCAAGTTAAATTGATCACTATCAGAAAGCTTTCCTCTTAAGTTACCAGACTCTTTTAACTTTTTCAACTGGACTTCAATATCTGCATGAGCATCATTAACTTTAGCTGACTCAACATCATAAATCCTTACTTCATAGCCAGCACTTGCAAAAAGCATTGCCCATACCCTTCCAATAACACCACTGCAAAAAGAGATAAACAGATGAGTTAAAACATAAAAGTATTCTGAAATTGAAAATAAAATTTTTTAATTTTTATAATATGATGTTTTTAACCAGGGTTTGTTGATTTAAATCAGCTTGATTTAAATTACGATTTAAATCAACTGATTTTTTTATAAATATATATTGATTTGAAAAACAGTGTTTTAAATTTTTGATTCTTTTATTATTTCTTTTCTTTGTTTTAAAATTAATTTTAAATAAATTGTTGCATTAGTTTTAAAATTTATTACTGCTGCATTAATTAATGTATGCGTTAAATTCCAACACATTTGAAATTACATTTTTAAAAATTTTTTAATTCTTGAGATTGAAAGTACAGATTAAAGTAAACATTTAAGTATTTCTTTCTCATAATATGTTTACAGTATCTTTGACATTATCAGATTTTCTATAACGAAATTTTGTGAGAAAAAAATTTCAATGAGTACATAGATTTTTGTAAAAAAAATTTGTAGCTTAACTTATCTATTTTAATATAGGATTAAAAATGAATATTTTAACATAAAAATATATAGATTAAATATATATTTATTTTTTGATGAATGACTACATTCATAAACACAATCTGTAACATTTATTTTGTCAGTTTAAAAATCAAGAGAGAAAAAAAAGTAATCACAATTTTAAATTAAAATTATGGTTTGGAAATTGATTTTTTGTTTTAATAGTTAAAGTTTTCTATAAATTCTCTATTTCATCTAGTCTTTAAATTTCAATCATGCATTTGTTTCAAAATGGATGCTATGCATTCAAAGCTATGTATTATAATGAAAAATTGTTTTAGGTAGTTAGAGCTTCTAAAATATTCTTATAATACAGTTTTAATATTAATTTAATTTTTATTAAACATTTATAAAGTATTTTTAGTCATAAATCAAAGTTCTTACAGTGTATCTGAATAAAAATCAAAAAAATCTGATTTTTTTTTTTTAAAAATCAAAAAAATCATGAACCCTGTTTTTAAGGGATGTAATGTCTAGTATATTAAACTTTCTAACTCACCCTAACTAACTTTGTGACAAGATAGGATGTACATTCTTGTTCACCAAACAGTATCCTGTTAAGAATCCAGAGGTCACAGGTTCTATCCTCACCAGCGTACATTATGTAAAACTCTTCCACAATCCTATTTATTTGTGAACATGGGCGACAACAACAATACAGCCAACTTATGTTCTCTTTACCAGATACTAATGCCACAACATACAATGACAATGGCAGGCATTCAAACCAAACAAATAGCAACACCACAAAGCTTTCAAGCAAGTCAAAAACATAAAATTTTCATGCCTGACAACCCTCTTTCATAAGAGGGGAAGTTTTGGGGGCACGCAGTGGCCACCAAATATCGCAAGTTTTAAGTCACAATTTAACATTTTACATAACTTTTAAAATCTAACTAATAAATCAAATAGTATTTTCAGATAAAATACACTGGTGCAAGAAATTAAGAGAATTTGCAGACTTGGTCGATTATCTCTAGAACTACGGGACCGATTTTAATCAAATTTGATGTGTACATACATTGATACAATACAAAACAAATAACCACTCAACAATTGTAATACATATGCATGATCGTGCGTAACACTTGTTGGAGTTGGAAGGTATGAAACTGTCACAGGATAATTCAGGCCAATTGCCACAGGAAATGATAAACTGCCTTATTTCAAGTGTGAAATCACATTGCAAGGCTTGTATATCTGTAAGAGGGGATCATAACCCCTATTAACCTTTTTTTTCACTTATTCTGCAACCGCTGTTTCATACATTCCGACTGCATGCATGTGTATTACAATAATTGAGTGGTTATTGGTTTTGTATTGTTTGAATGTATGTACAAATCAAATTTTATTAAAATTCGTTCAGTAGTTCTAAAGATAATCGACCAAGTCTTCAAATTTTCTTAACTTCGTACACCAGTGTAGTTTGCTAAAAATAAGATATTTTTAGTTAACTATTTGTCATGCTTATTAATCAGTTACGCTTTGTTATTAAAAATATCTAACTAGACATAAAAGTCGTTTGATGATCAAAACTATTCTACAGATTCTTAGATATAATTCAAAAGTGTCTAATATTACAAAAGTAAATTTTTACGAAATTATATGCAATATTCCATGTATGTAATAGAAAAACATTATTAGTAATTGCACCCATAATCGTTATAATAAAAAAGTTTAAAATTTTATATATTGCTTTAATTTATCAAATTCAATCAACTTTAATGAACTTATTAAACAGCATTCTAATAAGCACCATTAAGCATTATTACAGCACAGAAATAGAATATCACTAAAAGAATAGACATACTACATTTAAAGATCAATCAGTTGATACATATAATAGTGTTCTAAAAAGGTTATATTTTAAACACAAACAATTAGCTAATGGTGTTTGCTTAAAATATTAACCTCTTTGGGACATAAAGAGTCATAAATGCATTTGTAAGTCATAAATGTTTGGGACGAAAGAGTCATAAATCAGGATGGGGAAAAAATGTGGGCATGGCTAATTTAACAAACTTATTTTATTTTAACTTTAATCAATGTTAGCTCTAAGTGTAACTATGTCTTTTTATTTTGAATTTAGCAGTGGTGAATTAAATAAAGCATACTATTATTATCCTCCTCACAAATAAACTGCTAAAGTAATAATTTGGCTACCAGTTTCATCTTTTTTAACCAGATTGAGAATATTTATGCTGACACAGATACGAGTCTTTCAAATTTATAAAGTCATAAATGAAGAATATACATAATAATTTTACAAAAACTTATGTACCAATTCAAAACTGCCATACAATCTTCTTAACACATTTAATTTATCCACAGAATATATGTTTTGGTTACCCTACAAATTTTTACTTTTTAAAACACACTTCAATAATGTGACATCTAGAAAAATTAAATTAGATTGGATTTGCAATTAACAATGATAGGATTTTATATACTTAAGTAAAAAAAGTATATACTAACTAATTATAGTTAAGATCATCATTACTGACATTATTTAGAATGACATTTACTCAGAAATGATATTTATTGCCCAGAGTATATGATCCTATTTCAGCTTTAATCAGTTAAATTACTCTATTTTAAAGTTAAATATCATATTTTTTTATCATAGGAACATTACCATGTGACAATTGAACTTAACCTTTATGTATTTGAAATTAAATTATAAAATCATAATGTAATTTTTGTAGACATTGGAACACTGTGGATAAATAAATGTTTCCTCGTTTAATTTTTTTATTGGTTCATACTTAGTACTCTGAGTTGTTTTTCATTATTTTATTTTGGAAAGTGAACAAAATTGATGCACTAGAAAACAAGCTTTAGTCACAGTAAAAACTGTGCAATAATAACCTAGTCGATCCCCTAAATCTCTCCTTATATTTGGCGGAACAAATAGCAATTTATACTTTATATACTTTGATGGATTTAGCATTGAATATCTTACCTTCCTACAACTCCTATTTTACCCTTTGATGGCATTTTTCTGTACACTTCCTAAAAAAATGTGAAGAATTATCTATAAGCAATTCTTATTGTGAGGATAATAATCACATGAAATTTGTTTGCTTAATGATTGTAGATTGTTTACTATTTGTTGTGCTCATGGATCATGTCTCCATGGTTGTGCTTCCGGATGCCTATTTCTGCTGATCTTAAGAAGCTTTTATTAAAACTGATTATTCCATGCAAGCTATAAACACAGTTATGAATCCAAATATGAATCCGTAAAAACGAAGCTCATGTCCGTAATCTTAACTTGGATATAATTTTGTGATGCTCTTTTTTAAAAGGACATTTTTACGGTTTACGAACTTCTGATCGCCGTACAATTTACCCACGAAAAACTCATCACCATTTCACTTTTCTCTGCGGTGAACAGAAGTGGATTACGCGCAGTCATTACCCTTTAATTCATTAAGCTTATATTTTGAAATCAATTCATTGGATCAAAGGTTTTCAAAATATTTTTACTCACTGTACACATACACTTTATATTGTTCCGTGTGTCACAAATGCTCTCTCGTTATATATAAAGCCGTGTGTGTTTTTGCTACACGAAATTCACTATTATATTACCATTTATATTAAAAGGAGGAAATATATATTAATTCAGGAGTGGTACGGTAAGGTACTTTTATTTACGTCGTACTAGAGCTGCGCAATGGGCTGTTTGAGACGGTCTGGGAAATATCCTTGATTATGATGCGGAGACAATATACATATGCCGCATCTCGTTTTATGGGGAGGACACTCCAACCCCGACAGATTTAGCGTGCACCAGTCAACCATTTTGTACACGGGGAGTCTTCGACCGTCGGAAATCGAACTCATGACCTCTCGACATAGACCTAACGCCTTACTAGTCAGGCTATACCGGCCCTCATATTAATTCAAGCCAAGTGATAAGCAACACTTGTGTCTTACGCGTATCCAAGTTGGAATTTCTTTTTTTGATAGTTCATTCATACATTGCAATCGTCTGCATTTAAGATTTTTGAGATTTATGTATGCATGAAGAAACACGCCCTAATTAAATAATTTGTCAGCTAATAGGGACTACCTTATAGGTTGAAACAAGCTACGGAATGAGATTATCTGTGGCAGCGAAGGTAGCAGGTTCGTGATTTAAACTTACTGAAGATCAACAGCTCTGGAAGATCGATAAACGCGTATTGTAAAAACTAAAACTTCCCTTTATTCATATTTTCACAATATTTTATTTTATCTATAAAAGCACTTATTTTCAATCCTATTTTTATTTGATACCGATTTTATTATAAGGGCTAAAATAACAACAAAGGAAGTGAAGAAAGTAAAAATAAAAAAATGAAGAAAGGAATACTGAGAATTGACAACTTATGACTTATCCTTATGACTTCACAGCTCACTAATCATTTTGAAAAACGTATTACTCCTTATAAAACTCAATCTCTTTCTACATCTAAATGCATTAACGAAAGTACATATTAACCTTAACATTTCGAAAGTGATCAAGCTATCACTAAAAATGTTGTAAAAACATATCATAATTTTAAGCTTTGAACCAAGTTTATTTAACAATCAAGGATATCGTCGTCATGTCAAAAATTTTTATACTCATGAAAGGAAAAAAAGAATCAAAACAATTTCGTTTCATTTTTTTATATATCTTCCTTTATTCCGCGAAATGTTCTTCAAACTAACTAATTGGGTAGGTTTCTTTATTGTTAATCTAAAAATTTTTCCTGCTTTCCCAATATTGTCATAAACCTTTATACAATGAAAAATACATTTTTAATTATGTACCAGAGTTCATTATACAGAAGGAAAAAAAATTCGCAAAAATGATTGAATTTATTTTAAACAACACTACTTAATACACAATGCTAAACAGCGAAAGTTTAAATAATTTTTATTTTTATTCGAAGGTACTTCTAGCCGATCTCCATGATAGATTAGCATTCGTCGTTTTCTCTTTAAAACATCGTTAATTTTTTTGAAAAATTAATTTTTGACAATAAATAACAATAATTAGGCACAGAACATTTTGCTTTTAAAATTTTTGTAATATCCCTAGGACCAAAATAACTTGGGCCCTCATTGGACCAATTTTCACGAATCTTGGCTCAATAAGTGCTCAAAGGGCCGTTATTTTCTGATATTGGCCCTATATAGAATTGTCCTATTCACACCTGATATTTTAATGCTACTTTACAACCAATATCAGCCCTATACCGAGTTGACAGATTCACCCGATATTTTATGTTCATTATTCAGCCAATATAGGCAGTATATTGATCGTATATAGGCCAATATTGGCCCTATATAGGAACAATATTGAAAAATCTAGACATCTCAATATTGGTCTCTCTGTACATACTCATATAGAACCCACATTGAGCCAATTCTAAACCCAACTGGGGCCAATGCAAAATTGTTTCTAGTGATACTTTTTATTTTAATTTTTATTTAGTTTGGTTCATCTGTCTCGTCATTTACGTAATTTTTAATCCAATTACAATATTTGAAGAAACTCTTCTTCAGTTACTTATCGGGGACAGCAATTAAGAAATCAACATCTCCCCGTTACAAAAAGTGGCAAAACATGAAAATTTCCCATCAACAGAACTCTAATTCTTCGATTTAACAACCTCTGAGGGTAACTTCTGCTAGCATTGATATTTTTTACAAACTAAATTTTTTTCGTTTATAGTAACTTTATTCTGGCAAAGGAGGAAACTCAACATAGTGAAATTTTAAACAAAATTGAGTCAGTCGATAGATAATTTTTGATGATTTTGACCGATAGAAATTGATAAATAGTTAATTTTTCCTTGCAATCACAGTTTTCTGAGAGTATTATTATATTCATTGACTGATATGAAGAGCATTGGTAATCAATCAATCAATAAAAGAATCCTTGCTTTAAAATCAGTTTTTATAATTATTTAATTAATTTTTAAGCTTTCATTCCCCTTTATTATTGTTTTGTGCATAACACCTCGCTTATTTTCGATTGGCAAAGCAATTTGCATTGTACTTACTATCCAAGCAATTTTTTACTGTATAAAAGTCGCTTTTTTTTATAATGTATATTGTAGAATAATTGTCAATTTAATGGCAATCCATTCCTCTCTCTATCTCCCTCTTCTTTTTTTTTAATTTTCTTTTCTATTTTTTAGTTTCCACTTCTCTTTGTAGGATATATGGATATTGTTTAAAGCAAAAAATTAGAAAAATCTCGCTACAAAGATCACATAAGATTCTGTAACTTTTTAACAAATTAAGAGTTTTGGAGGAAAAAAAATTCGAGTTAAGTTCAGAAATAACAATGTCTCTTTTTAGCACGTCAAATATCAACCCCCCCCCCCCGCGTTGTATTTGTTACTCTAAGTTTAACAGTTAACAATNTTTTTTTTTTTTTTTGTTTTTTTTTTTTTTTTTTTTTTTTTTTTTTGTCTTGTCGTAGTCTCTTTATTCTATTCTACGTATCCTCATGTCTTCAAATTTTTAAGTCTTACAGTTTTTGCATAGCAAAACAAAATTTAGCCTACAGTTCAACACCTAAAACAGCAATGCAACTCACTGCGAGAGATTTAAAATTATTTATTGCCTTTTCCTGTGATTTGCATTATTAAAATAAGAACTAACATCATTTTTTTTTAATTTCATATGAGCTGCACAATCAGTCTTCCCGATGAGCAGATCTAGTACGTTCTCCAGAAGTAGTATCCACTCTTTCAGGACCACCACAATGGGTGAGATACCGTTGGCCATGTTAATTTGGACGTCTAGTTTCTGCCACACTAGATGGCAGCACCGAGACTCTAATCATTAACATCATTAAAGTACACAATATGCAATACGAAAGAATAATTATATTTGTAACCTGAATTAGTGTTGTTGATCATAAACACATGATAGTAAAGATTTACCATATTGAAGCAATTTTCCTGATTATTTGGTATTTTAGAGCATAACTTTTTTTCTATTGCAATCACCGTTGACTTTAGGTTATTTAGGTTTATCGAAACACTTTTTAAAAATTAAACAATAAACGAAATAAACATAGAATTTTAGAAAATACTTAGGTAAATGATGGATGGTTGCTAGAATACAGAATTTGATGGTACAATTATCGGAATGTACTATTCTACAATATAAACAAAAGCTATAATTTTTCCAACGCTGCGTTTTTTTTTTTTTTTTTTTTTTTTTTTTTTTTTTTTTACAATTCTTTACAAATATTGTAATATGATTTGGAAAATAATGAAGATCTAGCAAATGTATCAATATTGCAAATATAGATAAATTCTAAAGGAAGTTTTAATAGATAAATCTGAGTTCTAAAATAAAACAGAACAATTCTTTTTTATGTATATAGCCGTCGTTGAACCGCCGACTCAATTTTATGTTTACGTCTACTAATGTTCAACTCCGTAGCCTTGTAATTTTGAACCAATCCAGAGGACAAGGAAACTCTTGGATCAGCTAGTTCCAGGAGTTGTTAATCAGTACTACCAGAGGTATGATTTGTTATGGGAACAGGGAGGAATTTCGACAGATTTAACGTGCATCAGTCACCATTTACAACATGGGGAGTCTTCGGTTGGTGGGGATCGAACCCTCGGCCTCTTGGACATGGGCCCAGCGCCCTACCAACTTGGCTATCCCTCAACAAATCAGTCAAATAATCATAAACAAGATGGTATTCAAACTGTTAACTGAGAGAGAAACCATTCATTAACTCCGCCGACCATGTATGTTTATCAATTAAAAGAAACAATATTATACGTTATTTAAAAAAATATTTGAAAAAGCAAACAAACAAGAACAGCGTATTAGCTATACATTTATTGTAATTAAAACTTTATTAATTATGGTGTATTATATAAGTTATGTTTGTTGTTTCATTAGATTTTTCTCAAAATTTTAAACCAATTTATATATTTTATTCTTATAATTCAATACATTGTTAGGTGTTAAATTTTCCTCTTAATTTTTTTATGCTGTTTGAATTATAATTAAATCTAAAATTTAAAAACATACTCTTCCTGAATTTTATTGAAAGTAATTTTAAAATTCTAAAACCGTAAAATAAAAAAAGTTCATCTTATATCACCATTTCCCCATTTTAAAAATATGAATTCCAA